CGGTGCCACCGTAGCCACAGCCAAGATTTCCCACAAACATGTTTTTGTACCCCTGATGGCGGATGACCACCCCACCCCTTCCAGCGGCCCGGGACTGTGTGCAGATGATCCCTTCTACAGCCTGGGACCTTGCCTTCTGACTTCAGACACACCTGGCCAGGCGACACCTGAGGTCACCTGAGGACACATAATTCCTCCATCGAACCAGAGGCTTCACCCACTCCTCTGTGACTGTGTCTAGGGGGTCCCTTCTTCCCAACCTGGGATCCACTGACCCTGTCTAGGCTCCCCAGGCTGCATGCAGTCTCCCACACATCCTACTCACAGAGCTCAGGCCCCAGTCACCAACTCCATTCCCTCCCCAGGCCCTCCTGGCCTGCCTTAGCCATCTGGTGGCTTTGCCTAGCCCTTCCAGAAATAAACGGCTATCCCTGAGCCTAGTGACTTTGTCACCTGGGCTGAAGTGACTGTCCCCTTTGCCCTACCCGCCCCACATTGGGGTCACCTGCGGTGATGAGGAGTGTGTGTTCAGCCAGCATTACAGGAGCTTGTCCTGGCTTCTTGTCACCAGGTGCCCCACAGTGGCCTCTCCTACATAACCACAGTGTACCAGGCCTCCTTGGGCCTGCACATAGTCTCCTTCCCTTGAGTTCCACAGAGGACATCCCACCCCCACCCTGAAGTGCTCCCTCAGCTGGGAGGATTCTGCCTGCCCCAGTCCCAAGCCCTATTTAGTCCCTCTTCCTTGCCATTCTTAACCTAGCAGATTGTCATCCTCATGTCCCCTGGGACTTGGGATGTTGTCCTTCTATGACCCTTATCACTTAGCTACTTCCATGTGGGGTCATCTCCTGACATCAAGGGTAGGTCTCCCTGAGCCCCATACCAGGCATACCCTTCCTCTCCCCCTCTGACCCTGCTCTGCCTGGGGCCCCATGGGGAGCTCTTTGGCCCCAAGGGAGTGGGTCTTGGGTTTGACAGCAGGCCAAGACATTGAAGGCATCCTTCCTGGGCTCTTCAGTGCTTCCTCCCCTCCCAGAGGTGGAAGAGGTAGGGCTGGGGAGGGACCTGGGTGCCTAGCACTCACTCCCCCCCCCCAGGGTCAGAGTGAGCCCCAAGGCAGGCAGGATGGCCCCAGGAGCCCCCCTCCAGGCGTCTGTGTCTGTGTCCGCTCCATCCCTCCTCCCATCTCTGTCGGTCCCCTTCATCTCTGCAGTTTGGTGCCTTGCGCCCCCTTCCCCCAACATTATGATTTGATTTCTTTTCTTTTGGACAAATTGGTGTTTCTGTTGTGATTTATGGTGGTGTTGTTTTTTTTCTTCCTTTTCCCCATCCAGTTATTGTGATCACTCTAAGCCCTGCTCCTGCCCCGTCCCAACGAGCAGGTACCGGCCTTTTTATCATCGCTGCTTGGATTCTGCACCATTGACCTAACGCTGCCCCGGCCGCCCCCCTGTGCTGTGCGTGGCCCCGCCCCCTGCCCACCTGCCCCTCCTCTCTCCACTGCCAGCGTGGCCCACCTGCTGCCTCCTCCTTCCCTTGGTCCTCCCCACCTGCTCTCCTGCCCTCCTCACCTGCTCTCCTGCCCTCCTGTGCAGGTCTGGGCTCCCTGCGGGAGTGGAGTCAGGCCAGGAGTGTGTGTGCATGCACATGTTTGTCTGAGTGTGAGGGCCAATGTGGTCGTGTGCTGTATGAGTGTGTCTTGTGAAGGTGAGAGCCCGAGTGCACGTGTAGCGTGTGGTATGAGTGCACGTGAGTGTGCTGTGAGCGTATGTTGTATGTGTATGAGGGAATGTGAGAATGAATGAGTGGATGTGTTAGTGTGCATGTGTTCTGAGTGGCCTATGCGTGTGTGAGTGTTGTGAGCTGTATGAGCATGTGTTACGTGTATATGTGCAGATGAGTGAGACTCCACATATGTTGTGAGTGTATGGCTCACAGTGGGGCGCCTGTTGGCCCAGGTGGTGACTGTGCACATTCTGTATTGTCCAGTGGCTCCATAAACAGCACCTCCTGTGCCCTGGGCAACCAGCAGTGACCAGCACAGACCTCAGTCCCCTCTGTGTGGCTCTGACACTCCGGGGGAGAGGAAGCCAGTGAGCCTGTCACCTGTGAGGGAGTTTGGGAAGGGCCAGCAGCACCTTGGAGAAAAGAGGCGTAGAGCCGGGAGGGGATCTTGGCAGTGGGGCTTTGGGAGACTCTTGAGAAGCAGGGTGGCGGGAGAACCCAGGGATGCCTCTGCCTCACCTGGGCATGAGGGGGTGCAGGAACACATAGTCAAGAAGGTCTATTGAGACATAGGTGAGGGTTATTGTGTATGTGTGGCTGTGTGTAAAAATTACACCCTCAGGCGTCTGGTCTCCTGCCCTCTCTGGCCCCCATGTTCTCCCAGCTACACCCCCCCCCACCGCTTTACTGTTCACCACCTTGCTCTCACTCCACCCTCCGACCTGCTGTGTGGCCCATCACCCCCTCTGACCTCTGTTCTCAGGGCCTCTCTGTGTCACTGTCCCCTCCCCAGCAGCCCCTCACTTCATCAGAGCACCCACCACCCCCCAGCTCGGGCTCTCAGGCCTGGGGAACTGTGCAAGGGTCCTGGGTGGCTTCACCAGGTGCAGAGGGGGTGGGAGTGGCCCTCACCCCTTAGCTGACAGAGCAGGTAGAGAAGAACTCGTGTCTTCCACTTTTTACAAGTGTCCCTTGAGTGCCCAGGGGTGGGAGGGGGCTGGGGCTCTGATTCTGGTGCTTGCCCACAGCCTCCAGGCCCACAGCCTGCACTCATGCCTGGCCCCTTGCACACACGGGTCGAGCACATGCCCAGGGCTGCAGGGTAGGTCAGGTAGTAGCCCCCTCTTGCTCCAGCTGAGGCTAGGGGCCACGCTGCCAGCATCGCTGGCCTATGTGTGCCCTGTCTGCCTGAATGGTTTCTGGGTCTTATATCCAGCTGCTTACTGAGCCAGGAGAAGAGGCATGGGAGCCAGAAAGGTGCTTGTGGTTCTTATTCTGCCCATTCGGTGACCAGCCCACCCCCAGATAGACAGCAGGACCTCTTGTTCCTGGGGCTCTGGGGTCTTACCCAGCTCCCACCCTGCCCTCAGCTTCCCTGTCACCAGCCCAACACGGGCACCCGGTTCCCAGGGAAGCCGTCTGCCACATCTCCTGTGGCCAGCTGGGCCCAAGTCTTGGCTCCTATCTGTCTGCCTCCTGTCCCCTCACCCTTAATGCCGCCGCCGCCGGCCTGGGGTGTCTGCTGCCTGCCTGCTGCCTGCCCGCTGCCTGTAGCATGCCCGAGCTGTCCGCATGCAGGCTCCTGGCCTGGCCCCACCACCCTCAGTCCTGTGACCCCTGGAGGGGCGCCACCCCCAGGATCTCACCCTCAGGACACAAGCCCCGCTCCATGGGCCAAGCTTGGAGGGCCAAGCTGGCCAGGGGCAACCCCCACCCCAGAGCAGAGCTGAAGCCTGGGTCCTGCCTGGCCAAGTGCTGTCCTTGGCCCGAGCCCAAGCTGGTCTTGGCACCATCCCCTCCTGGCTGGTCCAGAATGCAGACAGGCCTTGAGTCTGTGTACTGGGCAGAAGGGACCAAAGGGACACCCCAGGGAAGCTGCTTGGCAAGGGACCCTGTCAGATCTTGGCCTTTGGGCCTTGTTCCCGCCCCTGGGGCCACCCCTCTTCCCAGCTCCTCTTAAATGGGGAAGAGGGTGGGGAGCCGGGGCCATGAGAGAAGGGCCCCAGGTTAGGGAAACGACCCCAGCCCCTCCTGCCCAACCGGGCAGAGGCCCGTACTGGTCTTCCTGTGGGCCCAGGGAGGGGATGGTGAGGGCCCCAGCCTGCAGCTGGCAGCTCACCCTGCCCTGCCCTGGCTCTCACTCCCCCAGCCCTGCAACTCCCGCTGGCCAATGATGGTGGCAGCCGCTCGCCGTCCTCAGAGAGCTCCCCGCAGCACCCCACACCCCCCGCCAGGCCCCGCAACATACTGGGACTCCCACCTCCCTTCTTCACACCCCGAAGCATGGAGAGGTGAGCTGTTGAGCAGGGCTCAGGGTGGGAGGGTGTCTGGCCAGCAGACAGGACCCCTGCAGCACTCGCTTCCTGTCCCCCCAGCATTGAAATTGACCAGAAGCTGCAGGAGATCATGAAACAAACCGGCTACCTGACCATCGGGGGCCAGGTACCAGCATGGGGGCAGGCCAGTGGTGGGGGCAGGCTGGCTCGGGCACCTTGGTGCGCAGGAGCAGAGGCCCGGTGGACCCTACAGCCCTCACTCTTTTGGCAGCGCTACCAGGCGGAGATCAACGACCTGGAGAACCTGGGCGAGATGGGCAGCGGCACGTGCGGCCAGGTGTGGAAGATGTGCTTTCGGAAGACGGGCCACATCATCGCTGTCAAAGTGAGCTGTGTACCCTGCCCTGT